ACACGACAGCCAAGCGTTCCCCCCCCCCCCTCCAATAAATTTGGCTTTATCAGGTGGGACAGAGAATTTTGGGTATTACATATTTTCATGAGTATGTAATATCTACTAAAGATTAAGTAATCATATGAAGAATAATAAGTAGTGGTTCAACTCAGTGACCACTGACATACCCATCGGTGTTTAAGATATTGTATGCATCGACATTGATTAGGAGAAAGCCCGGTTGTCAAAGCCCATGTTAAACCTTGACATGTAAATGTAGTCCACCTAATGTTTTTTGGTAGATTATATATCGTCAATATTTGTAGAATCAGAATTAGGGAAATTTATATGTTCAAGATGGCCGACATGAGGCGTTTTCTGGTTATTTAGTAGGGTAAAATATGTGACAGCTGCTCCCGGACCAAAGATGGTTCTATAAGAATTCGACCCGCTGAATCTAATGAGCTTGGGTATTCCTCCAGAAAGTGATGACTAATTCCACTAGGGGGCCAAATTCAAAATGGAGTCTCATTTTGGAGGGAGACTCATAAAGTTCACAAACAAAATGTTCAATATATTGAAATGTAGGTTTTGAGTGGATTATGTATTGTTTAATGGTCGAGAGCGAGACATTAAGTAATATATTGTAACAACAGGGCCGTGTGGGTCCTGAGTGTTTTTACAATATATTACGCAATTTCTTAAGCTCGAGACCATTAAACGACTTAAAATACAGACACTCTGCATGTGCTTTTACAGTGAAATATGTCACACAAGTCCAATATTTCACTAGTATAAATAATGTACGATTGGCAAGTTGCCCGTACGATTTTTTTAAATAATGGTACGCCAACATCAAATTGTGACATCACATCTGTATTTTAAATGTCTTTAAACTACAGATGTGACGTCATCCTTTGATGTTGGCGTACCATTATTTCCAATAATGTACGGGCAACTTGCCAATCGTACATTATCTATACATTATCTATACTCGCGTGATGTATTTCATTGAAAAGCACGTGCGGATAGTGTCTGTATTTTAAGTTGTTTAATGGTCTCGAGCTAAAGACATTGCGTAATATATTGAAACAACACTTGGCTAATGCCTCGTGCAGTATCAATATATTACTTAATGTCTCCCTCTCGACCATTAAACTATACTTAATATGTGTAGATTCAGAATCTGGGTAATGCCATCTAGCACCCTTCAGGAAATTTAAATATTCAAGATGGCAGACATGAGATATTTTCTGGTTATTTACTTTAATTTAGTGGGGTAAAAGTCGGGACAGTCTCTCGGACCTCGGTATGAAACTGGTTTCTATCGTAATGTGACCAACTGAATTTTGCTATTCCTCCTAAAAGCGATGGCTAATTGCGCTAGGGTGTCAAATTCAAAATGGGGGCTTTTTTTTTTAGGGAAACTCTTATTGTCCCTTAAAAATGGTGTGCAGTATATTAAAATATAGGTTTTCGTGTCAGTTACTTCAGATATAAACATAAAAACATGTGCCGACCAAAAGGTATTCCAGGTTGAGCTCATATTCATAACGATATTAGTAATGTTTTAAACTACAAGTTTTCTGATTCGCCGAATTCATAGAGTGAATTGTCAAGCATACACTATGATCCACTATGACACCATTTTTAGCCGGTCACAATTTTTATCCGATTTTCTTGAAACTTGAAATGTAAGTTTATAACCCAAAGATCTCGGTTCCTTTCGATATTCGGGCATATCGGACCGTAACTTCCTGAATTATGGCCCCTGATTGTACAAAAAATTGCATTTTTATCTTGTGGACCCTATAGAGGTCATAATTTTTATCGAATTTAAAAAAAGGTATTATTATATCACCGATACATCATAAGGACGGCTGAGTACGAATTTCGTGAAAATTGGCCCAATACTGACAGACAAAATGGCCGCCCTTTGTTCTCAAATAGCGTAAAAATATGGTTTATCAAGGTTGTGGATCCTATGGAGGTCACAATTTTTATTCGATTTTGTTGAAACTTGAAATGTAAGTTTATAACACAAAGATCTTGGTTCCTTTCGATATTTGCGCATATCGAATTGTAATTTCCTGAATTATGGCCCTTGATTGTAGGAAAAATCCATCTCTCGAAAATGTGGGCGTATCCTGCCTGGCAGCCGCTGGTTGTAATACTTTAAGACGTAAGGTACACTGCTGTACCATTTTCATGTGGTACACTTTTGAGCTGAATAGTACAGAATACTGCAGCTATACTTGTTACTTTAACTAAGAAATGTGACCACATAACTCCTGTTTTATATCATTTACACTGGTTACCTGTTAAACATCACATTGATTTTAAGATTTTATTACTTACTTTTAAATGTTTAAATAACTTAGCTCCTGTTTACCTCTCAGAACTTTTAGAACTTTATACACCTTATGGTCAGTGCTCTTTTAGTTATCAAGTACCTGTTTTATGGAATAATCTACCATTTAGTTTAAAATGTTGTACATATCTATATTCTTTTAAAAAACAACTTAAAACACATTTATTTAATCAGGCTTTTAACTGAAATGAAATGAAATGAAATGGGGTTTAACGTCCTACTGTTCTGCTCCTAACCTGGGCTAATTTTGCACTACGGCCTACTCTTATATCGAATTCCAACTGCCAAGGGATCTTTTACGTGCACGCCAATGTGTACACGGGACCTCGGTTTTTCGTCCCATCCGAACGACTAGACAGCTTTCCTTGTCAGCCCCTCCATCCTGCATCACTGACAAGGGAGAACCACGCCGGAAAATCTGGATGAACTTTCTAGGCCAACACCCGACCTCCAGGCTAGCGAGCTAGCGTCTTACCCACTTAGCCACGTGATCCCCAGGCTTTTAAATGACTCTGTATACAATCGTTAACATGTCCATAATCTTGTTGTTTATTTATGATTACATTGTCACTTTGTAAAGTGCCCCTGAACATGTTATATGAAAGGGCGGACTTTAAATTTGCTGTAATAATAATAATAATACCAGATATGCATGCCTTGATACCATATAGGTGAAAATTGATACACTTTTCAGCTAGGCTAACCTCCTGGGTTCCCGGTCTATAAGTTCGATGGTGAGAATTTTCTGCTTAATCTAAGGAGCGATAAGCAATTTGATTGATCAAGACTTTGGAACATAACAACTCTGCTTTTAATTGAGGTAGAATCGTTACACTTGATGTAGATGTTCATTAGGTGAATGTCTTGACGGAGTTTAATGATTAACATTTCGAACTGAAGCTAAACAAAGCTAACTAATTTCATTGGTCAATGCTTTGGGACAAGATAATCTTGATTCTATCTGATAGAGAGTGATGAAACTTAGTCACATACGTAGTTTGATTGCTCGATACTTTTGAAAAAAAATAAATGTGAGATTAATTTTAAATATGTGTCATTTATTTATTTTCGGATTTTGGCGGGGGACATCAGCCTCACTGTTGGCTTGTTGGTAACTGATCTGGAAGCCATGCATGCCATGTGCATGTGGGCTGCCGTAAGTAATTGAGCTAGAATGTTCAAACTTGTTGCAGTTGTTTACTAGGAGGAGAATGCCTTGACTAAGTTTATGCTAAGCAGAGATAAGCAATTTCATTGGTTGATGCTCTGGGACATAACTTTGATTCTAATTATGTGAAAGTGTATAGTTTCATTACATCAATACCTTGACTATATTGATAATGAGCAGGTTCTGCCAACGTTAAGCAGAGTGATAAGCAATTTGATTGATCAAGACTTTGGAGTTTAATAAATTTGATTATAATTGAGTAGGAGAAGTGAAACTTGGTGTATAATTTTATTACAGCAATACCTTGACTAAGTTTGATGATGAACATTTTCTGCTTTACCTAAGTAGGGACCGTAATTTGAGACTTTAGATCACAATAACTATCCTGATTGTTGATGTAGAAATGTGCCAATTATATATGGTAAAAAGGTTTTGCTTTAACGTTTTCACTGCATCTACCCGGTAGTACAGGGTATTATAAAATGTCGTTAAAATGCGTATACCTGGTATTACAGTGTACTCAGTAAAGTCCTCGCTAAAATTAGTACCGTAACTGCAAGTGCCGTCTATTGTATTTTCTATACACTAGAACATATTTCCACGTGTTTCAAAGTGGCAAACTGTAAAATGGCGGAATGCATAGTGACAACGTAGACGATGCACTCTCGACGAAGTCGTGAATGACGTCTTGCTGACCAACACGTGGACAATTTTGAGGCGGGTGATACACATAATTCGTTTCCAGTTACTTGATAATGATAATAGTCAGGACATTGATTGGTATTAATAAGTGTGTGATTTGTTGCGCGACGTTCCGCCTATGGCTATGTCTCCCGTGCATGATGAACAAGCCCAATGTGAACACGATAGACGTGTGTCTGCAGTAGATTCTGACAATAATTCTGATGTTGATAATAATGCTGGCCTGCTGGATTGTAAAAGATGTAGGCAATTCCTGAGTCCCGAATGTGTAGATCTATTGACTGACTATATTGATAATTATATGGGGATGAAAATGAAAGTGAAAGTGAAAACAAGGTATTGCAATCGTGGTCATGGCAGTGTTAGACGTGATGTGCATGTTCGTGGTGGCATTGCTCATGGCTGCTATTGATATTTTTGTTCATTTTATATATCTTTATCAAAATCCAGTGGAAAAAACAATATCTCATAAGTTTTTCATGGAGAAAAATTTGTTTTCGTGTTAGCTTTAGTGAGAAATGAGAAATCCAAAATGGCAGCCATGACGTCACGTGACTACATTATTATGCAAATTTCCAAAATTCTATTTTTTCCTCTAAGCCCAACCTCATGCCCATCTAGCATTGAAAGGGTTAATTAGCTACAGATTCATAATGTGACAACCATTTGTGGATTGTTCGAACAACTTTGCTGTTGTGGGCATATGTTTCATTCCATCTTTATAAGTTCATGCATATTGTTTTATGTTCATATGTATTACTTTTTTGTTTATCATAGCATTTATCTCCAATGCAAATGTAATCCGAGCCAAAGTTCCTATTTTAAAATTTCGAGATAAAATCAGGTAGATATTATATTTGATTGTTTTTGCACTGTATTTGATGGGAGTGGGAGGGGATGTGACGATTAACATAGATTAACATAATATCTTCATGGTAATGCTGAAAAGTATGTCTCTTTTGAATCACGAAAGTGATTATAGAATTATTTACACATTGCAATAGTAATAATATAAATTTTTATATGCACATTGAAATGTGGTTGTATCTTGCCATCATCTCTCTATCTGTATGTCGTCAGATTTTCAAATATTTCCGATAATTGCTGTCAAAAAGGGCTTTGATCAATTTGAAAAGCTTGTGGATTCTCCAGAGGCTATAGTTATCATCTGATTATTTTTTTCATCCTATGATTAAACTAGGGTTTTTAATCCATTTTGAAACGAACCGACCAGAATTGGGTCAAATGAGGTCCCGGTAGGAACTGGGTTTTAAAATTTTAAGCTTCCATTCCCTTTAATATAACCAAACTTCAATAATTAAAAATAATTCTTAGTAATTTGTTATGTGTAATATTGTATTCTACTTTATGTAATTAGCACAAAAATAACGACAAATATATCGTACATCGTTCGAAAAATTTTCCATATTTAATTCACGTACCAACTTGAAATTCATGTCAGTAATATTCCTGAATAAATTCCTGTATTCTTTTTTTTTTTTTACGATGGGTATAAGCTGATACGGCACGGTGGTATTTCTTCATAACACAATTTGTAGGGTTTTTTTCTATCACTGTAACTTGCAAATGTTTTTGTTCATTTGTCTATGATAGACACACGGCACAGTGATCACGTGACAACCATAATTGAAATGGCTTTAAAGTTAAATTCCATACGACTGTGTCATATAGCTTTCAATGATAACGACAATATTTTTAAAAAATAAGCCTCGGTGAGCATGTGTATAAAATAAAAAATCATAACGGTAAACGGTATTTAAGACTAAAACTAGCATCGCTGGTTTACTGACCTAATTCCAACTGATATCAGGTGTCATCGGGAATCATAATATATTATTAATGACTGTTTCTCAGTTTATTCGGTGTTCTATCCGAGGATTATATTCAACTAAGATTTAAATTTAACTAACAACTGGTCAGTGAAACCATTAAATTATGATCCAATTATTATTTTAATATCTACCGGTACACCTGGAATTCATACAAAGCGTCAAAGATGCGCAATAGATGCACAATCCATGCCAAGATCATCATCCTTTGATTGCCTTGTGGCTATTATGAATAATCAGCAAGCTTGTTTTGTTTTTTACCGGTCGATTATCAAAATTACGGTTACTTGTGCTAATTACTCGGATGGATTATGAACTACATGACTGATTTTCACTAAGATATGACTGTTATTGTAGCCGACAAGGAAGTTGATTGACTACTTAATTAACAAATAATAATTAACCCATTGTAATTTAGCCGAAAGTAGATTGATTTATGATACCATAGTGGCCAGTTCATTGTTTTACCAATCGGCTTGATTGAACTTCTATTGGCTAAAGCCGACAAAAAACAGCAGATTAAGTTCCCTGGATTAAACTCTAGTGTATAAAGTTATTATCCGATTAATTTCAAATGTACAGTGAGCTCTGTCACTTCCGACATCTGAATACTACAGCATTTTGTGAAATCTGTCATCATTTTCATGTCCCAATTTATTTACTTATTACTTCAACCAAAAAAGTTTTGAGTAGTCCATATCTGAATATTCCGAATTACAACATTAATCAGCAGTCCTGTCACATGATTTGCAATGAATTGACATTGCGTAAACCGGCCTTCAATCAGTGGGTATTAACCAATCAGTTATCAGTGAGCTTAAAACACCTGTTCATCTTTGTTGATTGCCTTGATAATTTTATAATCACTCGTAAAAGAGCACTTGGTATTTCATTTGAGTTAATTAAATCACTATCATTATAATATTGTGTTCATAATGTGTGATCGTCCTGCAAAGTGACCCGTACGGATTTGACATTGTATGTCAAGCAGCAAATTATAGCATATTTTGAGAAAGTTCCAAGAGAAGGAATTACCCATAATTCTTTGCGCTGTCACCATCTTATATGACAACTCGTAACTGTGTATGCTGTCCTTGTATTAGTGCTGCACCATACAACACAAATTATATTTTGAAAGTAAAATTAAACCTTGTTAAAAACCGCTAAAAAAGTAATATAAGAAACTGTGGTATAATAGGCAGGCACTATCGTACTGTGGCCCCTAGTAATAAATATGTAATAAAACATGTCTTATTTGTCACTCCAATTTTATCTCGTGTACTACTACTAGCCTAAATTATAAAATGGCTAGCGATATCGGTACCACGGCTACTTCGGTACTTGTCGCTTCAGCAACTATCCTGTCACTCTTGATAATATGAATATTGTGATATAAGAAAAAGTAAGAAATGATTTTACTCGAACTTTAAATATGAAGACATTAACAGAATGACGCATCCGAAATAAAAACGTAATAATTTTATGTAATAAAATTTTGAATCTAAAGAAAGGTTTATCATATTTTAAGTTATGGGTATTCAAATGTGTTTTGAAATAATAGTTCCGGTATTTGAGGTACAATAATACTTCCGGTATGGAGACCATTGAGTATTCCGTCATGCTGTATAATCTGACATATTGTATCGATCCTGTACGATGTCGGAAGTGACAGAGTCCACTGTACTTGGTTTTTTTTTCATAAGATGAAGAAAGCCTTTGATTTCTGATATCACATCAGTTGTCATCTAATTACTGGTACATGTTTTGTATAATAAATGTTAGCTCTAGAAAGAATTAGAATCCAATCAAATTTTAATCCTTTCTGATAATTGCTTTATGGGTTGTTACTTTTGATAAATTTTTTGTGTCTTGTAAATGCTCTCATTACCTTAAAAAGAATACGACTTTGGCATATTTCATTGCCTGGCAAGTGGCAACCTATCTTTCAGTTATAAGGTATTATTTTGTTTGCAGATGTTCTGCCATAAACTTTTTAGACAGCTGTGACAATCAATATATTGTTGTCTTTTTTATTACATACTGATTAAATTATCTTTATTTTATTTCAGTACGGTAGATTGTGACCTCAATATTAATAACTCTGTTGGTATCAGAAATACACATCTTCTGAAATATTATGCCTGCAGTAAGTATCATTATTAAATCAATAATTTACTTAATGTTTTGTCATCATTCTATTTCAATGTTAAACATTAAGTTTTTGATTTTGTTTATTATATGTATTTTAATGGCATCTTCTGTGACAAAGGTAAAAAAAAAACATGTGGAAATTATCATTTTTATACGCCCACATAGAAATGTGGACTTATATTGCCGTCGACCCCATCCGTCCGTCCGTCCATCGTCCATAATTTCTTGTTAACCCTCTAACGCCAAAAGTTATCATCCAATTGTTTTAAAATTGATATATGTTGTTTACATTAGTGAGATGAAGGAGCCTATTTAATTTCAATAATTTCCGTTTAAAACGTCTAGAGTTATGGCCCCTGTTTCACTTTGTTGAACCTTGTGAAGGCTCTAATGCCAAAAGTTAACATCCGATCTTTGTGAAATTTATATGCAATATTTAAATTAGGGAAACGAAGAAGCCTATTGAATTTCAGCAATTTCCGTTTATTACTTCTAGAGTTATGGCCCTTGTTACACTTTGTTTAACCTTGTGAACGCTCTAAACCCAAAAATTATCATCCTATCTTTCTGAAATTTATATGCATTATTTAAATTAGTGAAACGAAGAAGCCTATTTAATTTCAATACTTTCCGTTTATAACATCTGGAGTTATGGCCCTTGTTTCACTTTGTTGAACCTTGTGAACGCTCCAATGCCAAAAGTAAACATCCGATCTTTGTGGAATTTATATGTAATATTTAAATTAGGGAAACGAAGAAGCCTATTGAATTTCAGCAGTTTCCGTTTATTACTTCTTTGTGAAATTTATATGCAATATTTAAATTAGGGAAACGAAGAAGCCTATTGAATTTCAGCAATTTCCGTTTATTACTTCTAGAGTTATGGCCCTTGTTTCACTTTGTTTAACCTTGTGAACACTCTAACCCCAAAAGTTATCATCCTTCTGAAATTTATATGCATTATTTAAATTAGTGAAACGAAGAAGCCTATTTAATTTCAATACTTTCCGTTTATAACGTCTAGAGTTATGGCCCTTGTTTCACTTTGTTGAACCTAGTGAAGGCTCTAATGCCAAAAGTTAACATCCGATCATTGTGAAATTTATATGCAATATTTGAATTTGTGAAACGAAGAAGCCTATTGAATTTCAGCAATTTCCGTTTATTACTTCTAGAGTTATGGCCCTTGTTTCACTTTATTGAACTTTGTGAATGCTCTAACATAAAAGTTATCTGCCGATCTGTATGAAATTTACATGTGTCATTTAAATTAGTAAAGAGAAGAATCCCATTGAATTTTAGCAATTTCCGTTTATTACTTCTAGAGTTATGGCCCTTGTTTCACTTTGTTCAACCTTGTTAATGCTCGATTGATGAAAGTTATCATCTGATATGTATGAAATTTATATGCATCATTTAAATTTGTGAAACGAAAAAGCCTGTCAAATTTCAACAATTTCTGTAGATTACTTCCAGAGTTGAGACCCTTGTTTCAATTTGTAGAACCTTGTGAACCCTCAAACGGCAAAAATTATAATCTGATCTGTATGGAACTGTCTTGTAAAGGCCCCCCATTTACCTACAAAGGAATAAATATGCGACAACCCTTGTCGACCACTCAGACGATTTAGCCGCTGTGGGCGTATGTTTCGCTGCCTGGCAACCTATCTTTATATCCACATTGAAATGTGGTTGTTTATTTCTATTTCCATGAGACATAATGTTGTTTATGTTCAGGAGATCTAGATGAAGAAGCTTATTGATTCTCACTAATTTTCGATAATTAGAGCATCTAATCTAATTTATCTTTTAATATTAGATTTTAATCAAACTTTTTATCAGACCCAAACTTTTGATGAGTACTAAAGTGAGATAGTGACAGAGATTAGTGTGGACTTGAAATGGTGGACAAATCTGCTTTCCGAGAATGATGTTAATGTAGTTTAACCTGACTCATGAACGATGACTTGGTGTTAAATAGAGATACATCTACTTATTTTGCAGAGAAATGGCTATTTTTGATGTTAATTAGAAACTTGAGGGGTGGGGTGGGGGGCGGAATTTTGATACTGAATGTATGTAGAAACATGATTGTATCCTTCTACATTATTTATTGTATATTTTAGTGGATTGGCGGGTGAGACCTTTAATGTTATTTATAAAACACTGGGCTAGATATCATGATATCAATGATGCAAGGAAAACAACTATATCTAGTTATTCATTTGGTTTAATGTTAATACATTATTTACAAGGTAAACACATTTATTAACCACTAGCACATGAATATCTGTATCTATTTCATTAGAATAGCGAAAAGAATTTCAGCATAGTTTTATGTTTAGGTATTGTATTCTATTGGTTTGCAGTAAATTATACCGATGGTTCCAGATGTTTACCCAATTGTATGTGCACTACTGGCAGCCAATTTATCCCTGACAAACCATCTCGGTTGCTAAAAACAATGTCAAATACATGCTTTGATTGCTGAGAAGATTTGTGTTCATGAATGTCACCATATGTATGTGACCCACGCTGGCAAAATGAATCGGATTGCACAAATTCTAAAAATAAGATACAGACAAAACAAGTGTAAAAATATTGATTTTGATCGAAATTGAGGTTTTTACAAAACTGAGTCTAACGACCAAAAAGATCAAAATAGCAATAATTATTTTAAAACACCTTTATTTGGACGTTTTGTAAGAGTACCGAATTCATAAATCTGTGTTTTCTCTTAAGATTCTCAGCGAAATTAGTTATTTTTCACCGCTCACAGCCGCACGACCGGTCAATCATCTTACATAATACTTGGCATTGTTGTAAAATGAGTCGAATGACCAAAAAGATCAAAATAGCAATAAAACATTTTAAAACACCTTTATTTTGACTTTTTGTAAGAGTAGCGAATTCATAAATCTGTGTTTTCTCTTAATAGTAAGTGCAGGGGGACTGCACCACACAAAATTTTACACAAAAACAAATACATGGACAGGACATCATACTCAGGAAAACACAAACATACAGAAAATTAAAAAAAAGTGAATGGATCCGGGGGTTAGCCGTAAGCGTCCACTGCGCTGTACAGTCCTGGGTCTGTAGTGACACAGACTTCACTCAAATTTGAAAACAATTAGGAATACAACCCAAAGAACCCATTGTGTAATGCCAGCATGTGTCATGATCTGCTATATGCTACACGAAATACGAATGTAAGCATATGTAGTAAAATTCAACTATACAAGTAACCACTTCGGTGAAATGTATATGATTCTCAGCAAAATTAGTTATTTTTCACCGCTCACAACCGGTCAATCACCTTACATAATACTTGGCATTGTTGTAAAGTGGCAAATCTCTAGTTTATAAATATGACCAAAGTATTGCCGATGAATTTATTGTGAAGCAATACAAACGAGTTTTAAAACCCCTACAGAACATAAACAAACCCCGCTTGTTGCTATGCAGTCCACACAATTGGTTCGCTGATTGGCCCAGACACCCCATACAAAGCATTATGTTATCATGTCTGTCTCGAGGCTCAAGCTGGCGATTGTTTTTTGGGATACTTGCGACTCTCTCTGAAAAGTGGCAGAAAAAAAAAACAACTTAAAATCCTGATCGTGTCTAGATTACCGCTGAGTGTTAACGAAAACCACCTGTCAGAATACCGCTATTGTCATTGAGTAATACTACTAATCAATAGTCACAGATTAATGATTAGTTGATTGATAATTACCAATGATAAGGCCGTCAACAAATTATTATTCTGAATAATTAATCCAAGCTTTGATTATTTGATACCTCGTTTCGTCTTAAAAAAAAAATAATTTATAGACCTAAATGGAAAAAAAAAAAAAACCAATAATTTCTTTTTGAAGAGAATTTTACTGATAGCCAAATCACATTTACTGTCGCTTCATACAGCATGCAAAGTATACAAGCATGCATAATTCGATATTATTGTTTCAAATTCTATTATCACCATGGGTCGGAAAAATGAGAGCAACCATCGAGTCCACTATTATTTGTGTCATTACAACACCGCCAAAATGCACGGAAGTGAACATAAGCATTTCTTACAAATGAAATTGAAATTTTTCTCATTCTATCGTATCAGGGATTCATATTTTGATACCAATACGGCACTTGAAAATAACAATAGACCTATTGTACACGCAAAACTTTATTTTAATTCAGTGGTTGTACGGCTTCTTTGAAACTAAACTCGATTACCCAATCAACAAACTTAATCCCCTGACCACTTGCACTAAGGTGCTAATTAATTGACGAGATTAACTGAAGTTATTCTCACCAAAGTTATAATATACAAAGCATAGATTACTAATGTATGGACTATTCTCATTTGTTCTAAATTATAACACTATCAATCATAGGAAATGTGAATATGCTGCATGTGTTGTGGATGTTTTGTTACGAAAAGAGTTCATTGCATGAGATAAATATTCTAGTTGGCGAGAAAAAATATGTAAACATATTTTTATATAAAACAAATCTTGGATCAAAATTCTACTACGATTTTTGTCTTCAGCACCCCTGAAAACCTATAGAATAAAATATTAAATGACAAAATAGGAAATAAATGACATGGTTGCTATGTTAAATTGTTTTGGAACATACGGACATCTTTAACTTTTTTTTTCTCAAAACTTACTTTCCTTGCTTAGGTCGTTTAAACCAACCATACATCATTTTGAAGGCATTGAGATGGAGAATGTGAAAATAACAATAAGTCAATTTTCAAAATTTCCTCATTGTGACCGAGTTTGCCATCACAGGTCACATATTTAGCTTGTCTGATCTAGACGACCCATGTTATGGTTGAATGGTTAAATATGTATCACCTTACCTATGACAGAGAACATTAATTTGTTAGTTGTTGATATGTTATAGTAATTGTTGTTATGTTATATTATAGATGGTTGTGATCTTCCTGTATTACCAGCTTTACATAAATTTCATCCTGTAAGTACTAGTTGATGTACATCCATCTTGTAAACTCTACAGTATAAAGAATTTCTATCTTAATTAATTTAGAGCCATATCAAGACAATGTTAAGAAATGTTAAATAATGAAAACGATACATAAACAAACTACTGATTGGTGAAAGCTGTGTAATGATTAAAATGGTTGTTACATTTCCGTCTAATAGTTAAATAAATATGTAAAATAAGAACAACAGTTATGAAACTTGAAGATATTTTACTATTGGACATGTCTTTCCTGTTTATGGACATTGTTCTTATTGTTATAGCATGTAGTAGTTCTAATGATGTTGTTTTAAATTGTAGGAAATGTTTTCTTCAACATCTGATATCCGTCAACTTAAACTCAATGAAAATCTTAAGTTTGAAACAAAAAATAATCAGTCATTAGGAGAATTATTCCTAGGATTTCTAGATTATTACAGTAATAAATTTGAGTAAGTATGATTTCTTTGTATTAGGCTGGTGTAACTCATAACACCCGTCCAGATCATCTACAGTTAAAAGTATCATGACAAACTATTTACCTTCACTGAAAGGCTGCAATACAAAAGCAAACTGCAATGTAGATAACTTGTATTTTGCATATGTTAGCATTATTGTTGTTTTGATGCTGTTTTTTCAGTTATGAGAATTTTGCCATCAGTGTAAGATTAGGAAGTAAAATTCCTAAACGTGTGATAGCTCAACAGACAGATAATATTCGACAGTGGAAATATCTGTGTATTGAAGGTAGGTTATTGCGTTGATATTTATCATGTATCAGTCACACATCTTTTGGGGTGGCTGTATGGTCAGTAGCATTGGTTTACAAAACACACATCTGTCATGTACGCAAGTACCGGTAATGAATTTAGACCCACAATTTTACATCACCAGAAGTAGTAAGGTCCCTGCCTAACCTCAAAGGTCTTCTCTGGGTTGCTCCCATTGCTATATGACCCTGCATGTCTGTGTGTATACAAATTAATGAATTAACATCAAAATATGTTCAAAACTGACCATGTGTGTTAAGTTAAATGCAAAACCCAATATTTTGAGTGAACCTGGAAATTGTCTACAAAGTTTTTTTTATGATTGATTTTAGTAGCCTATGGTGTCCTCTTTCAGAATCTTCCGGGTGAACCTCGGTCACCCTTGAGTGTTTTTGAGAAATTCAAGAAGGCATCCAAGACGGGCGCCATTTCAAATGATCCCTAGTATCAAATGATCCCACAGTATTTAGTCTAAAATGATAATTTTGGTGTCCAAACGTATGTTCCTGGGTCAAGGAATACACTGAAATCATTCATTATGTTGTGTGGGGGGATTAGTCTGGAGGCTCAGTGCGGAAGGGTGTCCATCAAATGGGCACAAAACCAGTTCCAACTTTTCTAGAGTAAAATTTTGCGTGGAATACGATGCCGAGTGGTAATCAGTCCGCCGTTGGGGCGTTTTCGAGATATTCGAGGTCAAAGATCAAAAACATGCTGAAAATGATCAAAAGTAACCAGCTGAGTTCGTGAAAATTGGACTAAAACTGCTGGACAAAATGGCCGCCCCTCGTACGCAAATAGTGTATAGCTTTTGGTATATCAAGGTTGTGGACCCTCTAGAGGTCATAATTTTGATCAGATTTTGATGAAAGTTGAAAAATATGTTTATAACCCAAAGATATTGGTTCCTTTCGATATTCACGCGTATCGGATCATAACTTCCTGAATTATGGCCCCTGATGGTACGAAAAATCACATTTTTAGCTTGTGATCCCTCTAGAGGTTACAATTATGTTCATCGTCTAAGAAAGAACATAAAAATAAATTGATAATAATTTGCATGGTGATTTTGTACACCCACATTGAAATGTGGTTGTATATTGTCATCGCCCCCTTCTATATGTCCGGCTTCAACAATTTCTTGTGGACGCTCTAGAGGCTAAAGTTAATTTCTGTTTTGACTTTAAATTTATACACAATGTTTTAGGTCATGAGACGAAGAAGCCTATAGATTTTCAACGATTTCCAATAATTACTGACAGAGTTATGGTCCTTGATTGCTTTGAAAAATCTTGTGGACGCTCTAGAGGCTAAAGTTATTATTTGATTTTTATATTATCTGGGGTTGGATGGCCGAATGGTTAGCATGTGCGCACTGTATCATAAGGCCTGTCATTGATTCAACTGGCGTGGAATCGATTCCCCGGTTACACCGTAATTTTGACTGAGTTCGGATTTTAAAAAAACGTTTAAATATATCACCATTCCACCATAATGAATGTTGAATTCGAATTTCGGGAAAATCGAAATAAAACTGCCCTACAAAATGTCCACTCTTTGTACTCAAATTGTGTAAAAGTATGCAATACGAAGGTTGTGGACCCTCTAGAGGTCACAATTTTTATCCGATTGTGATGAAACTTAAACATATCTTTATATCCCAAAGATCTCAGTCCCATTTAATATTTGCGCATTTCAGACCATAAATTTCCGGATTATTGCCCCTGATTGTACAGATCTGTTTTGTTAGATCTATTAGTAAAATAGTGACCGCTGGCCGCGCAAGAGGAGTGTTTTTTGCTGGCTTTAGCCACTTGAAGTTCAATCAAGCCGATTGGTAAAACAATGAACCGGCCACTATGGTATCATAAATCAATCTACTTTCTGCTAAAGTACAACGGGTTAATTATTACTTGTTAATTAACACTAGGGACCGGGTATCATCCAGACTTTATGAAAAAAGGAAAGAAACTAGGCTTATCGTCAAGAATTTAATACACGTATCCAGCTAATAGATTGCCGTCAAGAATGTGTTAAATGCCGTCAAGATTCACCAGAAACCGCCCAGTTTGTGCTACCGTGTAGATTGAGAAACACTGTTTACTTTGGACAACGGTCATCTGCTTTACGACCGTCCAGTTTCTCGGGATGTTTTTTAGAAATGAACACTACCATTTAGATTTGAAAGGGGTTTAGTTTTTAGACAAGGCGTTTATTTTCCCGGACGTTTTCAAGAAATGAACAGAGTGTTTAATTATTTAAGGCGTTTAGATTTTATGTCAAATTACCACTTTACCGAGAGCCGTCTAGTAACTTACGGGTGAGTAGTAATACAATGCCGTTGACTTTTCATGTCTTGTAACACTGTAACCCAGGCAGGCCTCGAATTCTAATCTTTTTAGGGCCCTGCCATTTTGGCCTCGGGTTTTGGCCAAATTTAGGGGCACCAAGTCCAATGATGGGGGCATCAAGGCCAAAAAAGTACTCTTTTGGAAGAATCAATTAATAGTAGTTTTTGGGTAGGCCGACACCTTGGGGTATAACTAAATGTGGATTATAAATGAAACAAATTGTTTATCCATTTCAAAAATATTAATTTTTGTCCCCCGCCTTTCGAAGAAAGCAGGGGACTATTAAAATGGGTTCGTCCGTCTGTCTGTCCGTCTGTCGGTCCGTCTGTCGGTCCGTCCGTCCGTCCGTCCGTCCGTCCGTCTGTCTGTCTGTCCGTCCGTCTGTCTGTCCGTCACACTTTTTGGGACACAATAACTCTCTTCCTAATTGAGCTAGAATGTTCAAACTTGGTGTATGTGTTGATTAGGTCAATGCCTTGATGGAGTTCGAAGATGAGCATTTTCCGCTTAGGGTAAGCAGAGATAAGCAATTTGATTGGTTGATGCTTTGGGACACGATAACTTTTAATTGAGCTAGAATGTTCAAACTTGGTGTATGTGTTTATTAGGTCAATGCCTTGATGGAGTTCGAAGATGAGCATTTTCCGCTAGGGTAAGCAGAGATAAGCAATTTGATTGGTTGATGCTTTGGGACACGATAACTTTTAATTGAGCTAGAATGTTCAAACTTGGTGTATGTGTTTATTAGGTCAATGCCTTGATGGAGTTCGAAGATGAGCATTTTCCGCTTAGGGTAAGCAGAGATAAGCAATTTGATTGGTTGATGCTTTGGGACACGATAACTTTAGTTCTAATTAAGTGAGATTGATGAAACTTGGTGTATAGTTTCATTACAGTAATACCTTGACTAAGTTTGATAATGAGCATTTTCTGCTCAGGGTAAGCAGAGCGATACGCAATTTGATTTTTATATGTGTCTTCTAATTATTTTCCTATTTCGGCGGGGGACATCAGCCTCACTGTTGGCTTGTTAATTTTCTTATAGTCATCAAAATAAACAATAACAGCCTGCATCATTATGCATTTTTATATTTATATACTATTCAAAAAAAGTAGGGGATATTTGATTTTGGGGGCATAATACTAAAATATGCAAATGACTACGAAAAAAGTCACTATAGAACCTAACAGAAGAAACATTTCCAGTTACATGTGACGCCCAAACGCACCAATAGCTACCGCATGGAATGCAGGTGATGCTTGGGATCATCATGGGGGTCCAACCCAAGATTTGCACGACTCTGACTTTGAATGTTACAGTCATTGTGGCATTGAATTCCAGGGTGGAAACATCAGTTTAATTGTTTTAGTGACCAGAAAACAAATTTTGATATGCGTCGGCTTACCCAAAATGAAAGGTTACGTGCCCTTGGCATGCTACAGATCGGCACAACACAGGCGGTTGTGGCGCGGACGATGAATGTTTCTCAGTCTGTCATAAGCAGGCTATGGTCCAGATACCGTGATACACAATCTGTACAGGACAGACCACGCTTAGGTCGACCAAGGGCGACAACTCAAGCCCAGGATCGATTTATCCGTACCTTGGCCTTGAGAAATCGTGTCATCACAGCAAATCAGATCAGCGCTCGTCTTCAAACAGACACTGGTGTGAGAGTGAGTGGCCAGACGATTCGGAATCGACTGCATAGGGGTCACCTTCGCGCCCGACGTCCTCGCGTGATCCCTTGTTTGAGAGATCATCACATTCAGGAAAGACGTCGTTGGTGTAGGGATCGTCAACACTGGGATAATCGACGCTGGAGCAATGTGATGTTTTCAGATGAGTCAAGGTTCACTGTTGATTTTTTGGACAGACGTAGGAGGGTGTGGCGTCGTCGAAACGAGCGCTTCCAAGACGTTAACGTCATCAGACATGATCGATTTGGGGGTGGTTCTGTTATGGTGTGGGGAGGCATCACTGTTGCTGGAAGAACGGCTTTACATGTTGTTGCAGGGCGTGTTACAGGCCAGTACTACCGGGACAACATCTTGGCAGTCCATGTTGTGCCGTTCGCACGACGTCATGGCCGCCGTTTCATCTTCCAGGATGACAACGCAAGATGTCACAGGGCCAGGATCGTTACAGTTTACCTCCAACAACAGAACATCACCACATTACCTTGGCCAGCACTGAGTCCCGACCTCTCCCCCATCGAGCATGTCTGGGACATGCTTGGACAGAGGTTACGTCAACGTCAACAGCGTCCTGCCAATGTCCAAGAACTTGCTGCTGCGTTGCAACAGGAATGGGACAATCTGGACCAAAATGACCTTAGACGTCTCATTAGGAGTATGCCACGTCGGATCAATGCTTGTTTGGCAAACAGAGGAGGATTTACCCGTTACTGACTTGGTTGTGATGCTGTGGTAACTTTGCTGTTTGACCCCGGGTATCATTTTACCCTTATAATGGTCAGTCTGTGCCTTACTTAGTCTAACGATCATTTGGAATAAATCGATGAATGTGAACTTCATTTCATTTTGTCATTTGTTTCTTCGTCAGTTTCATTAGGTGACTTTAATAACACTTAAAAATCAAATATCCCCTACTTTTTTTGAATAG